GAGAGAGAGAGAGAGAGAGAGAGAGAGAGAGAGAGAGAGAGAGAGAGAGAGAGAGAGAGAGAGAGAGAGAGAGAGACACAACGAGGGAGAGTATGCTCAGTTGCATGTGTGCGAGTGAGTACTTGAGAGAGAGTGGGAGAGTGAGAAGAGGAGGTAAAGGGGGAACGTCGCAGTATTATTATTATTATTATTATTATTATTATTATTATTATTATTATTATTGTTTTTCTTAATTACCCTGAACTGGCTGGGTGCATCTGACCGCATGCTCACGCACACGATCGAGGGAGGGTTCGAGTGCGTTCAGCGCCAGGTAATCAGCAGGCGGCGGGCTCAAGGGAAGTGTTTGCTCGAATAAATGAGGGCGTCCTCGGGTGTAAATTCCAGCGGTTACGAGAGAAGAGGAGTGGGAAAGTAGGGGCGTGTGTAATGGTCACCAGTTTCGCCAGTTCGCCCGCGCAGTGAGTGGCCATCAGGAAGGGTCTGTGTCAGAGAAGCCAACCAATCGAGCTTCTTTATGTATCTGTGTCTGTTCGTGATCAGACAAATTCCAGTTTTGTCCAAGCCCAAGCATTTACGTTTAGTGTGCTGATCATCTGCGTAGTAGAGCACTGGCTCGAAGCAGCTAGCTTAAACATCAAGTGTCCATCCAAAATAAGGATCTTCGCCATGCAAATTTCCAATCCCCATTGCGCTGGTAACTTAGGGCCTTACGCAAGCGGCTTCTGCCTTGACCACGTCGTCGACTCCTCAAGCATTAAGCATTGAGTGTATGGAATACCTTGATCAGGTTGTTGACTCCTCAAGCATTAAGCATTACTAGAAATATATACGCTTACGTCTCCTTGAGAGCGGAAATACTGTTACTCCGAAGTTCGAGTGGACTTGAGGAAAAAAACATGAAAGCAACAGATGCAAGCATCGAGTGTTCTGAGTGTATCGAATACCTTTGGAGATCTTATGGGGACACCAAAAAATGCCTTTCGAGATCTTATGGGGACACCGAAAGCAGCTGATGATCTGATCGTTGGCGCCAAGCGTTGAAACTTGAAAGTGACCCGTGAGAACACTTAAAAGTCGCTACGGAACAGATCACTCGGTAATTAGGCATTGGGAGCTCTGATTACTTCCAGTGTCGGGTTTGACTTGTGAGAACGTTCCACTCGATCTGGCAGTTGACACAACAATTAATCTGATCGTCACGCTGGGGATCGACCAATGAAGATCGAGGAGTGTCATCTCCTCTGGAAAACCTTTTGGATGAATGTGCAAGGATGGAGGGTTTTTTTTTTTTTTTTTTTTTCATTTTATTTTATCTTCGCATGCTATTATTGAGGTGGTGATGACTCGCCATCCGACTTCCTTCACTGCCAGCTCCAATAGCGTATCAGACCGTATACCCCCAAGGGGGGCTTGAAAACACAGGGTCTGACTGCACGGATTTTGATTCTGCTATGAAACAGACAGAACGCCAGGAGAACCCACGGGTGTTGTCCTCTTGGACGTGCGGCATCTCAGCAGGTTTTCGGCGAAAGGAACAGGGCCAAAGGAAAAACAGAARGGAACGAGAAAGAGAAAGGGCGAAGAGGTGTGAAAGAGGGAGGATGAGAGAGTGTGTGTGAGAGCAAAGGAACGGGAAAAACGACATGTGCTGGGAAGTGTGATCGGGAGAGAGATTGAACGGGGCTGCGTGGAGACAACAATTATGATCTAGCGGGAAGACGCACGCCGGCCAGGATACGAAAAGGGACATTGACGAAAAACACGGGTTCAAGAAATAATTTGCTCGCTGAAAACAGAGCCTGACCATTGAGCGGTTTCTGTACTAGGGAATGGTCCTATTGAACGGCATTCTGAGTCTGTTGATTGGCTTGCTGAGACCCTTAGATCAAGACACTCGGCTGGGTGCGCAGACCATCGTGCTGAAAACGGAACCGCAGAATCTTGGCCGAAGTAAACCGGCTGGGTGGTATGTTGGCTCACCCAGATCAAGATGCCTAACCAGCCGCCCATCCCATGGAAATTAAGTCATTATATGAAAATACTCGATGATTGAATCGCGCTTCGTTCGCCCGATTGGAATTTTGGGGAAAAGGCACGGGATATTTTTGCAGAAGGTGAAAGACACTGTTGGCTCAACTCGCGTCTGAGACTCTGCCCTGATCAGGGCTCTGATAGCTGATTCCTAAATTTTATTTTTTGTCTCTACTCAGAAGAAGGGAAGAAAGTGTCATCCCTTAGTCAGAAAAGGGGGGGCGCGACAGGTCTCAATCACACCCCGCACCCTGTTCAGCTGCTGAGGACCTCTGAAGCGGGCACGGCGGGTGGGTGACTGATGCCGCTGCCCCTGGCTTCAGCAACGGACAGGCGACCCCTTCCCGGGTTTCCTCGCACCGTGTCTGGCCCAGGGCCTGCCTCCGATTCATACGGAAAAAACAGAGGCAGGGCCTGGGCTCAACCAACCAGCTGGCGATGCGTAACTGCCTGAATTTCCCCCCGTTGCAACAAAGGCAAAATAGGCCCCTCTCGTAGCTGAACAGACCCGCCTTCACTTAGCGCGGCCTGGCATGCCGGAAACAGGGCCCGATAGCTGAACAGGCCCGCCTTCACTTAGCGCGGCCTGGCATGCCGGAAACAGGGCCCGATAGGTCGAGCCCTCGGGCCTTGCAAAAGTTCAGGAAAAAAAAAAAAAAAAAAAAAAACAAGACGCGACCTCTCCACGTTGTGACGGACCGGCACAGACTTCAAAAAACAACTTTGGAAACTTCAATATACAACACTCTCTTTGCATCTGGAGCTCATAATCATCCTTATACATTCAAAATGTTGGAAAGCACCTGGCCTGGAGCTCGTAATCGTCCTGATACATTCAAAATGTCTGAATGCACCTGGTCCAGAAAAGCGTCCAAATGCATGTAGATAGTTGTCGAGTGGTCGAGCAAGGCCCCATGTGTGAGATATTGATACACTGAGAAAAAAAATAAAAAAATAAAAAATAAAAAGGAAACCGTTTCCAAAACTAAGACGGATATAAGGTCACAAAACTAAGGATAAAGATTCCACCACTGCCTGATGTTGACAGGAAAAAAAAAAAAAAAGAAGAAGAAGAAGAAGAAGAAGGGAGTTGGCAGTGTGAAAAGAGAGCTGCACCTATAGAGAAACGCGGAACACACAGACGAATTCCGACGCCTGTTTTTTTTTTTTTTTTTTTTTTTTTTTTTTGGC